AGTTAACCAACCTGGGAAAAGTACTCTATAAAATGGTGGTTTAGGTTGAAAGAACAAGAGTAAGCAGGCCATCTATGGAGGGGCTGCAGAGGATGAACACACATTTTAGAGCCAGAAGATCCTGACAAGACTCAGACATGGGATGGACACACTGCTAAGAAAATTGCAAACTATCCTGCTTTACTTACTCAGATGGAAGTTGAAAGCGAAATGGAAATTCATGTTTTCCAGGCTGCAATAAAATGATGGCTTCACCTGTAGAAGAGATTATTTTAACAAGGTTAGTACTAGAAAAAGAGCTTCACAACCTAAATCACATTTCCTAAAGAAGGTTTTGCTGGCCATAAGACACAGTAGAATTCAAAAGTTCATTAAAAAGACTCAGAGAATGAAATGTGTACCAGTTTTTAGCCAGTAAAAATGGTAGTTTAGGTTTAAAAAGTAAGAAGCAGGCCGTCTATGGAGGGACACACACACACACACACACCTTTTTATCTCAGAAAAGACCAATTACACAAGTAATTACCATGAAGTTCTAGAGCTCAGGGCACCAATATACATATGCAGTACACATACACACACACACACATATCCTACTGTATTATGTTAACATGAGATACTAATATTAAATTGGACCTAAAATTAATTTAGCAAAAGATAGATTTATTTTTATATATAAAATTCACATTATATTCTTTGGGAAGAGGTGGAAATAGAAATAAAAAATCTTGACAATTATTAATAGTGGGTATAAAATAAAAAAGTCAAACCAACAAGACAAGCCACTAAGCAAGAGTCAGGTATTTACCCTTCAGCTCTAGTGAGATTAACAGGATTTCTTAGCAGTTAACTTGGATTTACCAAGCAAGGACATGACCCCCTCCCCTGCTCTGGATTGCCGGTTTCATTTTATTTCATGTACTGACTGTGAGAAAGCCAAAAATGCAGTGTGTGGGTGGACTGTATAAGACCAGAGACACTGCTGGAGTCTCTGATGAATGTACATAGACAATCTATTAAGAGTTCAGGTCCAAAGTGGACTTGATGGCATCCGTGCTGGTCAGGTGACTTTCCTGAGATATTGTAAACTTTCTCTCATTTCAAGCTCAGATTTAAGGCTGAATTTTTGAAGGACAGGAAATCAGGAGTGAAATGGAATTCTTAAAAAACTTAATTACTAGAGCTTCATGACTTTAAACAATTTACACATTTTAACTGTGTAATTTTAGGAATATATTACTGGCCTGCTGAGTCTTCTAAATCTACCTTCAGTGTTTAATGTGTAATGCATTAGGGAGAAAAAAAGTCACAAGCCCATTTGCATAGTTGTACTTCACAGGTGGGTGACTTGTAGGCAAAGTCAACAATAACCAGTCACAGGGACATGAGATCAGATTAAATGATAGTGATAGGGTGAGTCCCAGGGCTAAGGTGTTCTCACGAACAGCCCTACAGGTCTTAACAGTGTCACAGCAGAGCTGCACTACTGTAAGCAAGGGGAGCTTCTGCACAGTGCAGCTATCCAGTGAAAGGCTCAGGACCCAATTCTCCGGAGAGTACTGGACTATAAATTCTAATCATTAGATTGCAGAGCACGACAAAGTACTTACAAATGTTTAAAAATGTGGGTTTCATCTGAGTTCAAATTTATAGGGCTTATATGCCAGGCACTGTTGATAAAAAGATGAATAACTTCAATTCCTCAGACCAGCAGAAAAGGCACTTGTACACAACTAATTACGAGACAGTGCTAGAGCCTAGAACATCCACACAGGATTATGTAGGCACTGAAGACCTGATGGTGGAATGGAGATGAGTTGGGAAGGGGCTTAGATGAAAGGCATGTCATGAGGAAGCATGACAGGCATGTGAGGAACAGAGTTGGCTAGGATACCAACAGGGAGTGACAAAGAGATGAAGTTCTTCCTTCATAGAGGAAACATATCCACTATTCCCCTTAAAATAAGACTTTCAACTGTCTTAAAACATAATTAAAAACAACAACAAGAGGAAACTGATAAAAATGGGCTATAGTATTTGGAATAAAAATCTTTATTTCATTCTCTTTGTTTTTAATGAAAACATTCACAACCATGTACATATTTCTGCTTCTGCTCTCATGGTTCATTACTTCTCTGCCTTACTGAGGACTACAGTGTCACAGGAATTTGTTTAATTTACTAATGGTCTCACAACCAAAGCTCAGAATTAAAGATTTTCATGAGCTGTGGGGTCTAGAAGACCATTAGAGGCAGAGTCTGGGGCTTAAGTTAAGAGGAGGGACTCATGTAAGGTCACACACTGCTACTGAGTGCCCAAGAACTGAAACCTACTGTATGGTTCTATCTTTCAGTATTTGTCAATCAACATATGAAGACAATCACAGTAGTTGGATTTGATTAGTAATTCCAAAGAAATATCTGGAGAGATTCCAGTGTTTGCATTTTCCAGAAATCGAAATTTCTAAAAATCTCTTTTGAAAGACATGTTTTGGAATTAAGTGACCCTGAGAACCTATGACTGTGTCAAGTTGCTTGTTTCTTTCCAGTTATGGATATTAGGGGTGCTCCCCCCACCCCCATCAACTAAAAGAGGCTGATTTAAAAAAAATATGTAACTGTTGTTAATATTTGTTATGATACATCACTAAAAAGAGTTGAAGATTTGCAAATTGTTTAGGTTTAGAGACTCAATTCCATTAAAATAAAAAATAAAATTTGACTTATTTTTTTGAATTGAAAAACCATTTGCCAGGCCGGATTTTACCAAAGCAATTTTCATTCCTAATTTTAGGTTCAATTACTTTTAATTTTCTATCTATTTACTCAGTAGTTATGGGTTCAGGAAGTTTAAGAATTTTGGACAAAACCCAATTTACTTCTCTCTTCCATGGCCTCTTCCCAGTCAGCCATCTTGAAAATCTGTGTTGGCTATAACCACTGGGAGAGGGCCTGCTGGTGATTCTGGAAACTACACTAAAGAAAGAGTGTGAGGGCAGGCAGGAACTGTCATCTACCAGGGCTCTCATTAACCTAAAAGAAAGCTTTGGTTCCAGATATCCTTTACCTATAAATTTGTGCTCACTCAGATTATCAAACACTTTGGAGGATTTAACTGTGGAGGGTCTATTCCATAGTAGGATTAAGACTAAACTGCATTGGATTTTGTGAAAGATATAGCAACATTTAAGAATATAATTATAATGCATTTTACTTGTCAAATTATCTTATTTGATAGCTAAAAGCTGATGAGGCAGAAAGGCAAGAGTTTAAAATAATTTCTTCTGAGGGAAAAAAAAAACACTAAAGACTCACTTTTAGTATTTTCATAATTAAGGGTATAAATTTTGGTACTTATGAATGCAACATCCATGTAGTAATCCCTGCATGGTGACTTCTAGAAAAGCCTACATTAATTGACTGGATTTCACAAAAGAGAACAGGAGGGGTAATCCAGAAATGCCCAGATGGCAGTCTCCAAAGGCCTTTTGGGAAAGGGGAGAGAGGCAGGAGGAACAGGACGTGAAGGAAACAAAAAAGTGGCAATATCTGATAAAGTCAGAACTCTTAATAAAAAAGTTGCCCCACTCCCCCAAAGATGTAAATCAAGTATGATGGTCAGGTCTAGAAACACTTCCTTTGAACCACCTCTCAAGAACTACTTCCCTCTTCCCAAGACTGAGTTTCTGCTAATTCATCATGAACCAAGGAGTGTCTAGGTCCACGATGGGAAGAAGTGGAGGCCCATGAAACACTAGGCATCAGAATGGAACGTTACAGACCCTGATTCCACCCTCCATGCCCACCGCCTTAAGGAACCTAGATCCCTGGATCCTGACAGTCTAATCACAGGTCCCCATGGCAATGACCCACTCCCTTCTGGGTTCTAGAAGATCCTGGGACACCCACCAGGTGTTCGACCACAGCCAGCCAAGAATGAGTCGCCACATAGGGCTATGCTGCAGGGCGCAAGGTCTGATCTCTGGGTTGCTGTGAGGTAGGGGCACAAGCATTGTTATCTGCCCCTCATCTGCGACCCCCACTGGGAAGTCCACCTCTTGAAGCCTGCGACAGGCCCACCTGCCAGGAGGGCACTCTGCCTGCGCGTGATCCTCCAGAGAATGTCCCCTTCCTGGCCCTTACCCTGGGACCCAGGGGCCTGGCGGGGAACCCAGGCAGTAGTGCTCACTCACCGGCCGGGGGCTCACGCAGGCTCAGGCGCACGTTCAGGTACTCCACCTCCGAGGCAGCTGGGGAAGCAGCGCCGCTGGCTGAGATGCGGGCGCTGGCACTCGGGCCCCAGGCGGCGGTGGCACGACCCTGGGCCTCCAGGCGTAGCGCGCTCAGGGCCACCGGTTCGGTCGCCTCCAGCAGCACGTGCCCGGCTACCGTCTCGCCGCTGGAGTAGCAGCCCTTGCGCTCATCTTCGAACACCAGACCCAGGCTTTTCACGCGGCCCTCGGAACCCAAGGCGGCGGTGGACCCCGCCTCTCCACCCATCCCGCCGGCGACGCGGCCCCGCCACTGAGGTCCGGGGAGGCCGGGAGCCGGGGTCCAGAGCAAAGAGGCGCCGCTGTCAAGGGCGCCTGCCACACGCCAAGGGCCACCGCGGCCGCTGTGCGGTGCCGGGTGAAGCACCAGCCCACCGCGGGGCCTGTCTCTTTAACAAACCTAACTGGGACTGGAAAGGGGCCGAGACTGCCCACCCTCGGCGCGCGCCCATAGGCCAGCTGTGAGACCTGCTTCTTGCCAATTGGTTGTAAACGGCCACTGAATCATTTCATTGGCGCCCCCACGCAAAGGCTAGCTCATGTAGGCAGTGCGTGATCAAGCAGTGTTGACCAATCGACAGACGCAAGAGTGCACGTGCACAGGGCGTTTATTGGCTGGGGCAAAGCACAGTCCCGGCACAGGAACCAATAATAAGGTGGAGCGCCCATGTGGACAGATAGTGGGAAACAATATCTGTCAGGGAGGGGGCAGAACAGGGTATCTCCGGCTTTCGGCGTGTCAGCTGTTCCTATGGTTACATGCGGGGGCGGGGTTTCTGGCTGCGTGGGTTCTGTTGTTAAGAGTCACCGGGTTCGCACTAGAACATGAAATTGTGGCTGCAGCAGGATGGTATTTATCATTACATTTGCAACGATCGAGAGAAAGGAAATACATATCCCGGAAAATGGAACTCAGTATTGTTTCCTTTTGAAACTTGGGGGCGGGTCACATCCGAACTTTAATGGACAACAGGAATTTACCAACCTCCAAGTCCCGAGCCCCACCTCTCCTGGGTTTCAGAATTCCTAGCATAGGTAAGAGCCAAAGAATGCTGAGGCTTATGCTTTTAAACCTGATTCCCCTAAGGAGTACTCCCAGGCTGAGGAGCCTCTTTTTAGGCCGGGAATGACTAGAACTCTTATTCTTCCTGTTCTGAAAAGGATCATGAATCAGGTTGTTTTGAAACAGTATCTACCACCTATGTTGCTGTAAATGATTTTTTTTTTTTTTTTTGCGGCTGAATACTATTCCATTTGATCACTGTGAATTATATATATGTTTCAAATTATTATACTGGGCCCTATAAAGATGTACAAATATGTCAGAGAGAGAGAGAGAGAGAGAGAGAGAGAGAGAGAGAGAGAAAACAAGCATGCATCACCTAAGTTTTGCCCCACCCAAAAGTATTTCCTGACCTCTGTATAATAGTCCATGAAATTTCTAGATTCCTTGATGACTTGCTCCCCCCATGCCCATAGCTTTTCTTGTCTATAATCTGTTTCAGTTTCATCTTTAATCTTCCATTCCTTTTCTCTTCTAAATTTCTATTCCCATCTAGCATCTGGCCATCTGGCTAGCATTCTCTAACCTTTTAAATAATCTCTTTATAAAAATTCCAAGTTTGTGAACTGTTATGGATTGATTCATCACAAATAGAGATTTAAATAGCTTTCTGATGTAGATTATTTTTTTAAAATCCCAAAGTAAACATTGTTCTGATGCCCTCTTTTAAGTTTGGATTATAAATGTGTGATTTAATAAGGTTGTAGGAGTTCAGAGTTTCCTTATCACCTCTCAAAAAATGGTTACTGCCAAAAATCCAGCTCGGCCTAAAGTTCTGAAATAGCTTTTTTTTTTTTTTTTCTTACTATTTTGTTTTGTCTAGCCCCCAACATTCTCCTTCCCCTGCTTGTAGTTCTTCATAACACAATCAGATTGTATATGTTTATTTACATATTGTCAGTCACTCCCACTTGAAACACAGAACTTGTTGATTTTTAAATCTCTAGTATCTAACACAGTGCTCAGTATATAATAAAAGCTCATTAAATGTATGTAGACTCATTGATAAATTCCAACCCATGAAGTATTATTGGTTCTTTTAAATAATGTTCTGCCTCTTACTATACTTTATTGTCTCTATGCAGCTGTTCTCTAACCCTCTCCTGTCAGTATTAACTGGCAGGAAAAGTAGGACAATGACCCTAACAGAATGATGAAATGACAGCACTGCAGACATGGCATTCTGTGCAGAGAAAGACCTGGCTCTCTTTGTTCATTTGTCAGTTCATATGTTTGACTATAGGCAGTAGAAGGTGTCACCAACAATGCTTTAACAATATATTTCTTGTTTACTTGACAGGAAGTTCAGTGGTAACTTCTTGTTGCCTTGTGGTAACCTGGTTGCTTTGAGTTGGACAACCAAGTTTAGAACCATATATGCTTTAAAAAATCTTTTCTCCTGTGCCATAGCCCGATGCTCTTCCAGTGGCAATGGTTACCATAGCTCTAATTAGCTCTTCTTCTCACAGAAGTTGAAATATATAGAGAGTGTCTGCAACAACAACAACAGCAGCAAAGAGGATACTCAGAAAATATATTTATTTCCTGGATGCTCTGACTTCATACATGTCATTGGTCCAAACTGAGTCACATGTGTACCTGTAGGTCATTAAATGGCAAAAAAAAGTGAGATATTTATGATTTTCTGACTCAATGATTCTTTTCTGGGGGTTGTTAGTATCAGAATTCTGTTAACAAGGAAGAGGGGAAGATAGTTTTTGAGTAGTATGTACCTGAAGCGGTTTGAATAGTTAAATGCATCTGATCAAATTTGCTGTAGAGCAGACCTGCTTCAGATAGGCATTTAAAAGAGTAGTTAAACAGACTAAAAGTATTTTACAACTAGAGAGAAGGTAAATTACATGGTGACTCATCTCAATCAAAACATTCCATTTTTATGTGTATTTATGTTATAAGTTAAGCTAGCATTGATATAGGAGGGTTTTTTTTTAATGCAAAATGAAATCTTTGGTGGTTTTATTGATGTACTTAGACCACTTATATAGAATGTAATTTTGTTAAGGTTGGTATACTGATCAGAATGTTTGGGTTGAAATCCTAATTCCCAAGAAATGGCACTAGGAAGTGAGGACTTTGGAGGTGATTAGCTCATGAGTGAGTGGAATTACCCCCTAATAAAATGGCCCCAGAGAAATCTCTTGCCCTTTCCATCATGTGAAGACACAGAAGCCATCATATATGAGGAGATGAACTCTTACCAGATACTAAATCTTCTGGTACCTTGATCCTGGACTTTTCATTTTCTAGAGCTGTGAGAAAAAAAATATGGTTTATAAGCCATGCTATTTATGGTATTTTGTTATAAAATCCCAGTTGGACTAAGACAATTGGTTTTTATGTGGATCATTTTCATATTTGATTTGATTATGACTTCATTTAAGTATGTGTTTCTCTGTTCTCCCTTTTTTTTTTTTTTCTATCTGAAATGTCCTGCAAGGATCATGTATTGGAGTCTTGGTCCCCAGTATAGCAATGTTCTGAGGAGTTTTGAGGAAGTGATTGGATCACCAAGGCTCAGCCCTCACAGAGGGATTAATCTATTGATAGGTCCATAATTTGATCACATTATTGGGAAATGGTAGAAACTGTAGGAAGTGGGTTCTTGGGGGTGTGCCCTGGAAGGGCTTATCTTGTCCGACCTCTTTCCTTGTTCTCTCTTTCCTTCTGTTTCCCAGCTACTCTGAGGTGATCTGCTTTGCTCCACCATGCTATTCCACCATGATGTTCTGCCTCAAATAGGCCCCAAAACAATGGAGTCAGCCAACCATGAATTGAAGTCTGTGAAATTGTAAGCTAAAATAAATCTTTCCTTCTCTAAGTTGATTTTCTCAGGATTCTGTTCCAGTGATGAAAAGATAACACCTTTATTTTGACTACCTGTAAATCTTTTAGTAATCAGCTTGTTTATACCTAATTTTTTGACCATAATTCTCTATATATTTAGCAGTTAATCTAGGTAATATTATTTCCAATCTATATTTTTAGCAGTTAATCTAGGTAATACTATTTCCAATCTACCTTATAATTGACCTGTGTGTTGTGTTCACATACATTGAAAATTATACCAGATACTTTTTATATTTTTGCTTTTGAGAGTTATTTATATTTGTAAAAACTCAAGAGATAGTTTATTATGATTGTTGGAATATTTATTATTTCTGTGCTCTTTCTTTTTTCCTGAAATTTAAGGTTCCCTCATGACAACATTTCAGTTTGAAGAATTCCAGTTAGTATTTATTTTAGAGAAGGCCTTGTAGCAATGAATTCTGCTAGTTTTCCTTCATCTGAGGTTTTTGTTTTTTTCTTTTGCCCTCACTATTGATGGATATTTTTACTGGATATAGAATTCTGGGTTGTAAGTTCTTTATGGGTATAATCCCACTGTCTTCTGAGAACCTGGATTTCTGGTAAGAAATCAGCAATCCTTCAGATTCTTGTTCCCTTCTTTCTGATGAGTCATTTTTTCTGACTGTTTTTCTTCATCTTTCGTTTTCAGTAGTTTGATTATATTATAAGTGGGTTTGGTTTTCTTTGAATTTATACTTTTCAGGAGGTTTCTTTCTGTTCTTATGGATGTAAATATATGTCTTTTATCAAATTTGTGTTTTCTGCAATTATTTCTTCAAATTTTCCTTTCTGTACTAACATTTTTCTCCCCTTTTTTTAGAACTTCAATACTAGAAGGCTAGATCTGTTAAATTTTGCCCCATACATCCCTGAGATTGATTTTTTTCCCCAATTTTTATTCTCTTCATTTTAGAGGTTGAATAAATACTGTTTCAAGTTCATCAACACATTTCTATTCTCCTTGAGACCATTGAATGAATTTTTAATTTCAGATATTATTTTTCAGTTCTAAAAGAATCAGTTTCAATAGTTCCTGTTTCCTTTCTAATGACATTGATCTTTCCATTTATTTTCATAATGTCTATTTTTATCCATTGAGCATGATTATAATAATTGTTTAAAAGTCTTTCTAAGAATTTTAGTACATCAGTTATTTCAGGTTGACATCTATTGTTTTTTTCCTCTTTAGAATTTTTTTTTCTTTCTTTTTTATTTTGGTTTGGTCTTGTTTTTATATGTTGAGTGATCTTAGATTTTTTTCCCCGGACATTTTGAATCAGATGATTAGCTGGATCCTGTTAAAATCCTTTAGAAAACACCCTCTCTTTTACTTTCACAGGCAGTGGTCTTGGACATATTCAGACTGCAGGTTCTGCCCTTCTGTGGGCAGGGTTCCAATATCAGCTTAGTTCTCAATGCCTTTGCTCTCCTGCTGTGAGTCTGTCTCCACATGAGCAGCTCAGAGGAGTCTGGGACTGATGTCACTTCACACACAGAGTTAAGAAATCTCTTTCATTACTTCACTCTCTATTGTTTCCCCCACTCCCTGTGGCACCCAGGATCCCTTTTTTCTAATCCCCTAGACACAAATTTGGTGTTTCTCTTTAGAGGAAGATGCTGCTGAATAGTTTTATGCAATCAGACAAAGCAGTGAAGGGAAAGAGGGGATTCCTCTTTCACTTCAGATTATAGGGTCTTCTTTTCCCACTTCCTCTAACAAGAAAGATAAGTTTTCTCTTTGTGAAAAAGTTTCTCTCTCTCTCTCTCTCTCTCTCTCTCTCTCTCTCTCTCTCTCTCTCTCTCTCTCATCGGAAGCTAATATAGCCCAGAACTGAGGCCATTCTCAAAGTATGAATAAATAAATGGGTATAAGAGATGAATCTTTCTCCCCGAAGAATTCCAAATAATTTATATAGATTCTTCTCCCACTCAGCTTGATATGTATTAGACTTAGTGATTTTCTTTCGGCCCAGTGAACACTATTTTAGCCAGGTGATGAAAGTTAGGATCACTAGTGATAAGTTATGTTGATAGTGTGTTCCTCTTATATGATATTATGAAAAGGACTCATTGCCTCTTTAATATTCTTCCTTAAAATCCATAAGTCCAGTAGAAGCACGAGGAAAAATTAGGCAATCCCAATATGAGGGATATTTTTAAAAATATTCATCTAACACTCCTCCAAACTCTCAAGGCCACAGGAAACAAGGGAAGACTGAGGAAGGGTCATAGACCAGAGAAGTTTAAGGAGGCATGATGACAACTTGCAGTGTGTTATCCTGGATTGGATCCTAGAACAGAGAAAGGACTTCAGTGGAAAAACCATTGAATCCAAATAAAGCCTGGAGTTTAGTTAATAACAATGTAGAAATACAAGTTTCTTGGTTTTCTCAAATGGACCTGGTAATGTTAACAGTGGGTGTGAGGAACATTAGAATCTCCATCCTATTTTTGCAGCTTTTCTGTAAATACAGATATTTTCCACAGTAAGCTTTTATTGAAAAAACAAACAAGCAAGCAAACATGGATTGACCTTATTCTCTCTTGCTTTCATGTGCCCCTTTTTCCTGGTTCTCTGGCTGAAGGATATTTCTCTCTGAGTTTCTGCTGCTTGTGCCCTTGCATGGTCCCACAGTGGGAACACCCTTCATTCAAAGCCAGGAAATAAAAGAGGCAAAAACCTTCCATAAAACTTAATCTTGTTCTTCAGTTTTTGACTTTGCCCCCCAAACCACCTCCTATTGCCAGTGCTCAGATCATTTATTTTATTATTATCATCTTCAGAGATTTGTTTTTGATCTTTGGAAGAGATAGGATTCAATGTTATATTCCATATTGCCCAATACCAGAAGTCCTAATTTCTCTACCTTCATCCTCAGGTCTTACAGATGTAGTTGGATTGCTGCATAACCATCAACACTCAGTCATTATCTCTTTGTATAGTGCAAGCATTCATCTTATTATTGCCTAAGAATTTTTAGCTTGTAAATATGATATCTGCTTGTGCATACCTAGATCTTAACTAGGGCACTGAACCTATGTTTTTGCTGATGTTTGAAATTCTTTTATGGCCCAAATTTCTGTTTCACAATTGGAGGTAAAATTTTACAAGGCAAATACCTCTAGAAAGGAGGACAAGGACTAACCTTTATGAAACACCTACTAAACTTCAGTCCAGATGTTCAACATATACAATCACATTCAAACTGACAGAAACCCTGTGGAGGTGCATCTTGGGATAGAATGCCAAGATGATTGATAAGGAGCCTAAGGTTCAGACAGATGGGCTGTGTGCCATGTTTCACATTCACAGGTAGGATAAGTTGTAGAGCCAAGATCAAACCCAACTTTTTCACTGCTCTTGCCTCAAGGATAAAGGGGTTAGAAGAAGGAAGGGAAAATATGAAAGAAGGAAGAGGAAGGGAAAAGCTAAACTTATTTTAATAAGTAGAATGAAGAGACAGTAACAAATCTCCCTGTACATTCTTTTTCGTAGTGTCCTGTATGTGCCTTATTTACACTGAGGTGCTGCTCTCTGTGTTAATCATACTCTGGATCACCCTGTGCATCTGTATGCCTAAATATGCCATCCACTGTCTTCCAAAAATGATCTGTGGCAGCTGAGAAGGAAACAACTGAAATAAGCATTTTTACTTGGAGGAAAGTTTGAAAGGAGAAGGATCATGGGGAAGGAGCAACTAAGTAACCAATGCAACCCCCATAGCCAAAATACAGGTGATAATTTTTGTTTGATTCCCCATTTGATGGGAAGACAGAAGTTAATCTATTCTGAGTAGTAGAAAAGGTCCTGCCTTCTTATTTCATGGTTTACACATGCATAATGTAGTTGTATTGTGATTACAAAAGAATGAGCAGAGAGAGGGAAGAGTTCCCATGAATGAACTAATCGTACATTACATTGCCATTACTAAAACTGTACAAGCAAACACGAAATCAAGACATGCAAGGTAAGTAACAATTAAGGGTCTAAAATAAATATAATTACATCTATATTGAAAGCAGAATCCATGAGAAAAGTTAATCTCTGACCAAACCTTATTTGTTCTACATGATTGCCCTTTAATATCCCTTTCCCTTCATGAGGGTCTGCTCCAATTGAAATTGCCATGTAATAACTGACTCTATTATTGATTTCGCAGAACACCTTCTTGCAAGTATATGTTGCCTGACAAAGAATTCTAATTGAATTATGGAAAAAAAATTTTCATGAAACTTGTGGAGGCTATAATGGCTTTAAAAAGTCATTTTATGAACTGAGGTCCAAAGAATGAAGACATTCTATTCCAATGGATAGACTCAAGGACAAGAGCCAATGAGCATGTGAGTATGGGTGAGTCCTATGCCTGTGATTCGGTACCATTCAGACCCTTCCACCACCAGCTCCCTTTCCCCCTGTTCTGAAGCAATATCTGCCATCCACCATTCCCAAATTATTAATGCATTGGTAAATGCATGTGCATTTAGGAATATATAGGTATCTATTTTTCTATGTTACAATCTTATATAGTTTTATGCATTTGTCTTATACATACACTGATAATCATATATTACTTGTGGGGTTGTACACTATGTTCTCCTTTACTTCATACTTCCTATTAATACAAAAAATCTGTCTCATAGTGGCAGGATTCTATTGTCTGACCACATCATTATTTGTGTAATCATAGCCTCACTGATAGGCATTTAGGTTATTTTAGATTTAGATCCATGAATAGTAATAACATTTAATATCCTTTAAAGGCTATGCCATTTTTAGTGTAAATGGATATAACAAAACTTTTCTTCAAAAAGATTATATCCTTACTAACAGTGCGTGAGATCACTTTAAAATTTCCAATGTTGTGCCTGAATTAGTCAAGGAAATAAGTAAAAGATGGTATTTCATTGTGATTTAAATTTACCTTTTTAGGAATAGGAGGGATTATGAGTGAAGCTGAGCATATTTTCATATGATATATATTTTTTGAAATGGGAACTCATAATTGTTGCTTTTTTCCTTTTTTCTTTTTAAATTGACTTACAGATCTTTTTACAGTGTTCTAGGTATTGAAATTTGGTGTCATATATTATAAATATTTTGCCATATTATACATTTTTGTTTTTTTATCCTAGAGATGCTTTTAATTTAAATTGAATTAAATATAAATTTATTTAATATAAACATTTATTAATCATTTACATTTCAGCTTTATTTTCTAGAAAATTGTAAGAAAGCTTCCCCTTCCCACAATAACACTTTCCCTATATTTTGTTCTAATACTTGTGATTTTTTAAGCCTTCAACTCTTTAATAATCTGAGCAACTTGTGAAGAAAATATTTAATGATCTCCCCCAAATTGCCAATTCCTGCAATATAATTTATTGAATAATTTTCCTTTACCCATTGAATGAAACATTAATTTTTATTATGTGATAAGTTGATACAGATCTGTCAGTATGTTTTTTGTTTTGTTTTGTTTTGGTACTGAGGATTGAATTCAGGGGCAATTTACCACTGAGATATATTCCAAACCCTTTTTTTATTTTTTATTTTGAGACAGGGTCTTACTGAGCTAAGTTGCTGAGGCTGGCCTTGAACTTGCAATCTTCATACCTCAGTCGTCCAAGCCACTGGAATTACAGGCATGCACCATCACACCTGGCTTATCAGTGTGTTTTAAAATTATTTTATACTGATATATTCTCTATTCCTGAACCAAAACAACATTTGTGTTTATTTCAGCTTTTTCTATAGTATATTCTGATAACTAGGAGGGCAAATGTTACCGAATCTCTGATCTTTAAACATTTTATTTCTTCCAGACAAATTTTAGGACTATCTTGTCAGGTTTTAATCAAAAATTTTGTTGTTTGATTGAAATAGCATTAGAAAATCACTTAATTTATCTATTACATTGTGAAGAATGAATATTTTTAAATATTGAATTTTTTCCATCCAGGCACTTATATATATATTCTTCAATAGAATTTTTATCTCTTTCTTAATGTAAGTCACACATTTCTGATAAAGTTTATTTTATAACTTTCCCCCATTATTTTGAGTTGAATGGGAATTTTTTCATAGACATTTTTGAATTGATTATTGCTATGCAGAGGAGAAACATTGCCTTTTGCATCTGAATCCTGTCCTTGGCCCTTGGTGGACTCCATATATTAGAATACAGGGCTTGGATATAAAGCTTCCTAAGGTTTTCTTTGTGGGTCAAGTAGATCATAGGCTCATGGGGAAAATAAGATATCAAAGTGTTAAAATGACACATTCACCCACAGCTTGTAATTATAATATCCCTGTGTCTTTGAACCCTTGGGCTAGACAGAGAAGCCTGTGTTACATATACGATCATGGAATGGTTGGCCTTTTGCATCAGCTACAGGGCTGCACATCACTGTTGAGTGGAGTTTATTGTGTGAAGTTCATCGTTAGGTGGAGAGAAGGTCTCCGCTGCAGATGAAGGGCACAGAGTCAGTGAAAAGAACAGGAGTTTCAGTTCCTAGGTTTAAACCTTACTTCCAACACTTGCTGTGTGAGTCTGAGGAAGAGATTTTCACTAGGACTCAGATGCTAATGCTTTTCTCATTGTGTGTCTATCATGTTAAATGGAATATGGCATGGAGGATGTCTCTGATACAGTAAGTGTCCATTACATGGAGGCCTTTGCTGTTGTTGGGAAGAGGATGTTGGTGGAGGTGGACTTTGTGTCTGACAGGCTGGTTTTGAAGTTCTAGCTCTGCCATTTCCTAATGCTATTTGGACTCTTCAAGCTACTTGTACTCTTCAAGCCTCAATTTCCTCAAGGTTGGACTGAAGATAATTTAAGGATTAAGTGAGAATGTGAACATGCATGCTTCACAAATTATGATATTTCATGTAACTGGCTGGTGGTCATGTTATTTCTGGAAATCTCCCTTCTTTCTGTAGACAAAAAAATATATGTTCTCATTGAGATATAAAGAAGATGTGTCTCTCATTAAAACCACATTTTTAAATCAAAATATATAAAGTGAGCTTCAGGTATCATTTATGTTTCATAAAAAAACATTTCATGGGCTAGGGATATAGCTCAGTTGGAAGAGTGCCTGCCTGGCATGCACAAGGCCCTGGGTTCAATCCCCAGCACCACAAAAAACAAACAAAAAACAAAAAACATTTCAGGATTTTAGTTACTTGATTTGTATGTGTTTTAAAGATGTTCTCATACTATTTTCCAGGTAATTATCCAGGCCATTCTTTCAAAACCAAGTTTTGTCATGAAACTGAGTACCATAGAATTCTGCTTTTCTGAGACATGATGAGACTTCTTGCTTCAAGCAATGGTATCATAGATTACTTAGGAAAAGTGAGAGCATTGCCGTAATGTTGGGTCCAATATTCTTCTGCTTTCTAGCTGGGTAGAAATCATCTTTTTTATTTATTTATTCATTGAATTTAGGCATAGCAGGGAGGCACTTGAAAAATTGTTAATGATTAAAATTACTTATCATAAATTTGAGTCTGAGGGATACCTTCTTTAAAATTGGACACACTGGGCTGTACTGTAAGAAGAAACATTTTATTGAAGCAATTTTATTGCCAACACACTTTTTTCAAAGTATCATATCCAAATGCAGATGGGTTTTTCAACCAAGAAGTGGCTGATCTGAACATTCTAGAAGACAGACATTAACCATTCACCAAACTGTGCCAACCATCCTTGAAAAAAAGCACATTTCATAAAGAAGCCATTAAATGTAATTAACTGTTTTCTGAACCCAGCTTTAAGACTTCCAATTAAACAATTTGTTGAATTTGTTGCCATATCTATGAACTTTAAATCTATTGCTCAGTGATTTTCAAAGAAGTAAGTTCTTTAAAGGTTAACTGGAAAAATGCCTGTGGAAACAGGGTGCACACACAGATCAGAGGTGGAGTTATCAGCAGGCATACTTGTGATATTAATCCCAATTTACTTAATATCAGGTGACTCACCTGAAGTGTCTGATCACAAGAGATGAATGGTATTGTGAGAGAGTCCGTGGGCATTTCTCCAACCTGCTCATGAAGGACCTTTGTCCATGTTGGAGGGAAGCAGAGGCAAAGTTCACAGTTTATCCACAGGTGTTAGTTACAACTGGGGTCTATTATTCTTTGTCCAGGGTTTATGGTTAAACCAGGTTTGTGCCTGAGTAAAAAATATACAAATACAAGATGCGCCACATTCTCATTTCCCAGGCTTGTCTTGCCAGCTTCTCAGCCAGAGGAGGTACCTAGGAGGAAGGAGAAGGGGAAGGCAGAACTATGATATTGCTTAGGCGATCTCAAACTGGGCTGTACTTTACCTGGGGAAATTTTAAAATACAGATGCTTGGGGTTTCCAGATAATTCCAGTGTACACTGTGAGTGAAGAAAATGGCTTTGGACACTCATCATCCAAAAGATGAGTTAGTTTTCAACTTCTTAAATGCAATCTGGTAACCCTTGTTTATTTAGAAACAATGGTAGGGTCAGGTTTAAAGTTGTAGTTTCAAAGAAATAAATATGCAGGAGAGGTGCCAGGTGTGAGTTATTAACTTGTGATCTATGAAATCATTTGCCAGGTTTTGAGGATATGTGAATTGGGACGGGGTGAGGAGGAAAAAAGGTTCATCCCTTTCAAAGATAATGGAAGGAAGCCACAAGGAGCAAATCTTTTAGGAATCCACTGAATGAACATCAATCTGTACAAATTTATGCCTACACTAAGGCACACACTCAGTTTTTAAGAAAGAACATCTCTAAGTCATGGAGGGGTAGCCCTGAGTGTTTCCTCAAACCTGTATCTTTTCCTGTGCCTGCACCTTGTACTTCCTCTAGTCAACAGTTCCTGGTTCCCGGGGGACTAGAGCAGCTCCCACCTACCATTCTGACTTAAAGAGAGTCACCTTTCCTTGTGCACCTTAGCACAGGGGAATGTGTTTGATCTTCTCTAAAGCATAAATTAGGAAGTAAAACTAATACAATCGCAAACAATGAAGGAAACAATGACAAAACAGGTCATAGGAGTTAAGGGTGACATGCAGTGTCTTCATCCAGTGCTCATACTCTGAGTTTCTCTTTCACTTCCCAGATAGCTTGTCTGCTTTCCTCTCTTCCAGCCCTCCATCTTCTCTGGCTAAGATGGTCTTAGTTTTGGTGACCTGGGGATTTTCTCATGAATCCAAAGACTCTGGCTGACTCTTAAGAAACGCTTACTATTATTTCTTCATACCTTCAGCACCAATTTTTAATCCCTTAAAAGGGATTGAAACCATGATTGGTGAATAGGTCTGGACTCTGATGTTAAATGCCACCAATAGATAAGAGCCTCCTCATAAAATTTCTTAAATTGAAATGTGCAAATGAGCTTCTTGTTCAAATGCACAATGATATCCTCTGAGAAGCACCATGACCAGTGGGGTCCTAGAGCATTCTGTTGAGAATGACTAATGCTGGCAGTCAAAAACAGTGCCGGGATCCTTCAGGTATATCTGCCATATGGGGCAGGGAAGGGGCTGTACAGTTCTGATGTCATGTATTTGACAAATCGGATGATGTTTTCTTTTTTAGTTTATCAGAGCCATTGCCTTCTGGAGCATTTGGTAGCTATGGCCAGATGTACCATTGTGGTGGGTTATTTTCCATTTTCTTTGTCAATTTTATTTATTCCTTCAGCTCAGAGAGGGAGACGGTCTTATCCCTACAAATAAGGAATGGTTCCCATCACACACTGCCTTCAACCCACTGTAGAACCAGTCATATCAGCACAGTGCAAGCTCACTCCCTTCTGCTGACAGATTGGGTTTGGAGAGTTAACAATTTGCAAGCCAGATCTCTGTTCTGTTTGATGGGAATCAGTCTTTGGTCCTTCTTGCTATTTTGTTTCCTGCCCCAGTCCAGGCTCAGCTCTAGTGCACCACTGAAACTGGAACCCAGTCCTGCAATAGAGGCAAGTTCTCACTTCTCTTCTTCTGAGTTCAGACTCTACTTCTGATACTCCTGGTCCAACATAGGTGGATTTGTGAAGGCTGATGCTGACAGCATCCAGTGCTGACCTTTGTTCTGAGCCATATTATGTTTCCCCACCTTCTCACTGCTGCCTTTGGACATTGATGCCAGTCCCACATGGGCCAACATTAGCCCCTTGCTGTGACTTGATGAGTTAGGTGTCCCTGAGTCTTGTAGTTCATCCCTAGAAGGTGCTGGCATGTTAAATAATTCCTAGGTGTGGTGATGTTAATATTAGTAATTGTAATAATAAAAGCAGTAACAGTGACCATTTATTGAACAAATTTGATGTTCTAAGCTCTACACTAAGTGAATTACATATATTGTTAAATTTAATTCTCAGAAGAACCCTATGGAGTAATTTCCATTTTGGGCACAATTTTATTAGTGAGAAAACTGAGGCCCCAGAAGAATTAAGACACTTGTCTAACATCTCTCAGTAATAAATGGATCTTAGATTGGAACTCAGTTTTTGGATTAAAGGTCTGCGCCCATAACCACATGGTGCACTGTCTCTACTGCCAGGTGCCCGAGTCTGTCCCTGATTGACAGCTGCTAGAACTCTAAAGAAAGGAAATACTAATGATCTTCTTTTAGAAACTGCTGAAATGTCAGCTAGTTAAATATCTTTGGGAGGCATCTGATCATGTTGCATTTGTATGTACTCTCAGTTCTTCATAATCAAAGCTCTCGAAAGTTCATGGGCACTCTTTCTGCATAGAGATGACTGCTCACAGTTTAAATACCTGGGAAGGGAGCTGATACCTTCTGTCATCCCCAATTGATGTTGTGTATTAGTGAGGAAACATGACCAGCAGAAAGTGAAATTCATTAAGTATTTCATGCCTGCAGTGATTATAAAACTCAACTGCAATAAATGAGCCAATAGAACAGTGGTATGAAGCTGCCATATGTCAGTGGAAAGCAGAAAGCAGGAGATGGTTGCTTTCCAAGCTTAAATATGAATACTTGGTCCAATCGCCCAAATCTTTGGCCTCTCTTGGCATATGATAGCCCTGGCATACAGCAGCGCTGCCACATGGAAATGCTGCTAGACAGTTCAGCCTTTGCAGAAAATAACATTTTGGGCTATTGCATTAATTGCTATTGCTTTGCATTTATATTACTTTTTGTACTCAGGAAAGTTTAAGTAATTTTAAAAGGTAATTTTAAAAATTCCAGTGATGTTCTGAGGGATCTCTGAGTGCTTTGTCTGTGGTATCTTCTGATTCATAGTTCTTAGAAAAGGGGTATCAGTGCTTATTAGGAACATGCCCTAAGGTAACAATGCAGTCACATGCTCAGGTCTCATGGTACTAAAGCATAGGTTACCACGATTGTGGTAGGGAATGCAGGCTTCTTTAATAATATGCAACAGAAATGAGTCTAGCTAACTCAATTAGAAAAGAAATGCATTCATTGGAAAGCATGTGGTAGTTTAAAAAAGGAAAAGAAAAGCTGACTTACCAGACAGAACAGGAGTGGGGAAACTCCAGAAATCTTGGCATCAAGAACAAATGTTCCACATTTTCCCACTGGTCATTATCAGACTGAAATCATTAATGTTCCCCCCTTATGTATCTTTCAGGGTATACTCCCAGTGACCCACTTCCTCCAGCCATAAGACAACACCTGACTATAGTTTCTCTCCAGTCCATTCAAACTAGGATAGACTGAATAAATTACAGCTCTCTTAATCAAGTTGTTTCACCTTTGAACATTCCTGCATCAATACAGTAGCTTTTGGGGGACACCTAATATCCAAACCATAACAGTGGCTTAAAACAAAAATCAACATTTCTATTTCCCATTTTCTGAAGATCAGGAATCTCATTGTGGCTTAGCTAGGACCTTCTGGCTTGGGGGTCTCTCATAAGGTTTCAGGCAAGGCATTGGTCTTTGCTGTAATCATCTGAGGTAGAAGGATGCACTTTCAAGGTGACAGTCTCACCTGATTGTTGGGTTGGTAGTTGACTGGAGGCCTCAGTTATTCCTCATGAAGGCCTCTCTCCACAGGCTGCTTAAGTATCTTGCCAACAGGATGGCTGACTCATGCCTAGTAAGCCACCTAAGAAAGAAAATCAAAAGTGGCAATGCCTCAGAAGACTCATACCTTCACTGTGCCATATTCTCTATTAGAAATGAGTCACACATTTGTCCTGCATTTAAAAGAAATGGAATTAGCTCTATTTTTTGAAAGGAAGAATGTGAAAGAATTTTCAGATTCATTTTAAAACTACCACAAAGTGCCAGCCTGTAATCAGTCTTCCACCTGACTATTAATTAATGAAAAAGAATGGTTACCACTAAAGGAAGGTTAGCACTGGTTTCTCCTAAGTGATGACAACTGAGCTGGGGTTTAAAAGCTCCATAGGAGGTTCTGTAGTACTCAATGGCATTTCATTTGAAGGGCTTTAAATATGGAAAGCCTTGAAAGTGTGAACCAGCATGGCATATTGCAGAAATTGTAAGTGCTTAGTTTGGAATTCCTAGAATCTGAGATATAAGGAAACACTGGTGGAAAACCAGACTGAGGAAAAGGGCCAACCATCAAAAGCTTAAAACTTAACACGTAGTGTGATCACCCATCTTAGTTTTTCAGGACAGTCCTTGTTAATGCATGCTATCTTGGTTTAATTATTAATAGAGTCCTCTTCCACAGTCACAAAGTCCTGGTTTGGACAATAAATTGTATAGTCAATTTAATTCTGTACCACCACTACCACATCACCACCAACACCACCACAACAACAAAAAAGAAAAGAAAAAAGAAAGAAAGAAAGAAAGAAAGAAAGAAAGAAAGAAAGAAAAAAGCAGTGTCCATAGTTTAGTCAATGACTGAATTTTTCACTCTATAATAAAACAATGAAAAATGTACCTATTTTGTATAGAGAATACATTGGAGAAAAAAATCAGAATCATGGAAATTAATTTCAGTAGGTGATGGTGGTACAAGACTTTTAAAAAGCCTTCTTAATGTGTTTTCCAGAAGATTATGTTTTAATTTTCTTTGGCTTCTTGTTAGAAATGCAAATAATTTTTTAAATGAATGGGAAATTTTCTTTTACTACACAAACTAAGAAGTTTAATAGCATTGGTTTTATTTGAAAAAAGTTACATGAATTAACTGATAAGAGAGACTAGTCATAGGAGAAATTTCATTACACTTCTTTTTCTAGAAAATATTTAATTATAAAAGTTTGGCTCCTAGTAATGACTCAAACTATACAGAAAAGTTTACAATCAAATTTGTTGTTCAATCCCTTTTGATTTTAATAAACTCCTCTAAGTTAAGTAATGGTCTTTCTATCTATCAACTTATTAAGATATTTGTCTTTGTTCATTTTGTGCTACTTTAACAGAATGCCTGAGTCTGGGTAATTTATAATGAAGAAAAATTTATTGACTGACAGTTCTGGAGGATGTAGAGTCCAGGATCAAGGCACTGGCATCTGCACTGGTGAGGGCCTTCTAGATATGTCTTCATATGGCAGAAAGCAGAAGAGAAAGGAGCAAGAATGAACCCATATATGGGAACCCTTTTTATAATGACATTAATCTATTCATGAAGATTCCGATCCAAACACTTCCCAGCATTATGTTCTACCTACCAACATTGTTGCATTGTGCTTAAGTTTACAACACATTATTTCTGGGGCATATATTCAAGCCATAACAGATATTATCATTTATTTTATTTATATATTCTATAGTACATTTATAACTTTATTAAGTTTAGACATTTAAATATAGGTTGATTTTTAAAATAAAATGTGAAGGCATAAATTTAATTTTCATGTTTAGTTCAATTATTATTTTGAAATGCCTAACTTTGTTTCCCAAAAAACATGCTTTGTTTTGGAATTTTATTTCTGTACCATTAATATGACCACACATTTCTTTATTTGTGCAAATTTTTAAATTAGTATATATTTATGTTGATTTTAACATTTGATGAAGTAAGTTTCTGTTATTGTCTTGCCAAAAATTCCTTGTTTTCATGCATTTCCCCCCTCCTTTCAAAGATTTTTAAAATTAGGTCCTCAATTTCCAGTTTTAAAATTCCTGTTGCGCACAGGTGATTTTTAGGGCACTGAAGTGAAACTGTTCTGTGATACTTCAAGGGTAAATATACAACAGTTTGCACTTGTGAAGACAAAACCAAAACAAAACTGTACAATATGAAGAAAAAACCCTAAGATAAACTGGGGACTTCAGTTAACAGTGTTCTATTAATTTTATTACATCAATTGTAATGTACCACGCCAATGCAAGGTGTTAATCACAAGAGAAATGGAGTGTGAAAGGAGGGGTATATATTGAGAATTCTACTGCTTCATTTTTCTGTAAATCTAAAACTTATGTCAGAACAGTATTTCATGCTACACTGATTAAATTTTGGAGAACTGGCTGAACCTTTAAAATATAAAATTTTTGTATCTTGGAACAAGGATATCTTCCTATTAATTCAGGTCTTCATTGATGGTCCTACATTAGTGTTTTATTGTTTTCTCCAGGTATGCCTTCCACATTTTTGATTTATTTATTCCTAGGTATTTTATGACTTTCTTGCTATGGTGAATAGCATTCTTTTAATTTCTAGTATATTTTCTCATTGACTATCACCGTTATTTTATGAAAGTTGTATTTTCAGTGCAATTTAAAGTTGTTGTTACTACATATTATGTTAATTATTCCATTAATCATTAAATCTATATTCTTAAAAAGTCAAAATATTTTAATAGTTACAACGAATTTTTCTTCTGTTAATTTTTCTAGTTTGGTATTAAACCCAAATTATGTAGGTACACGTATTAAAGATGAAAATGGTTTTTATACTGTCTGCAAAGGACTTTTTGTTACAAGAGAATTTACATTATTTTCCATCAACAGGTTTACTCATTACTTATTCAGTTTTAGTTTCAGTTATTTAAAAAGGATATGTTGAGGTTGGGGCTGTGGCTCAGTGGTAAAGCACTTGCCTGGCAAGTGTGAGGCATAGGGTTCTATCCTCAGCACTACATTAAAAAATAAATAAAATAAAGGTATTGTGTCCATCTTCAACAACAACAACAACAACAAAATATTAAAAACTTTGAAATAAATAAAAAGGATATAGTTGTAAAGTTTGGCTCCTTCACAGTCCTGGCATTGCAACCCCAAAAGCACCACATGGGCAACAATGCTTTTGAATATATCACAGGAATTTTAGCACATTAACTGAAAATAAATTTTCTCTATTTTTTTTACATTCAAATAAATTAAGTTCAGATAATATTTTCCATCTTTAAATAAAATATTTTAATTTCCCTTTTTGCCTTGGTCAGATTTTATGGTTGTTCTTTATTCAGAAAACTTCCTAGATAACAATTTTTTCACTTATAGTATTTAAGGCATATCTTAATATTAAGATTGACACAGCTCTCTTTAGTTTCACTAAAAATTAAAGCAGAAAATAAAGAGATACTGGGAGATGAATTGTAATCCAATATTGATTTTGTTTTTATTTCCTTATTTGCTTATTGGTTTTGTAGAATACTTCTTTACTTAGAATCATCTACTATCAAGTGATATTATAATAAATCACTATACTTAAAAATCTTGCAATATAGTACTTCAGTTTCTCTCTCCCCAATCATCATGTTATTGTTGTTAAGCATTTAATTTTTACATATATTATAAACACCACACTGCATTTTGGTCATTTTTGCTTTGAATGATGAATTATATTATAAAAAATATTAAAGCCATTAAAAAGCATATATTTGCCCATGTAGTCAGTTTTTAGTACTTTTCATTCTTTTTTTTTTGTAGATCAGTATTTCCATCTGGTATGATTTCCCTCCTGTTTGCAGGATTTCCTTTAGCATAATTTATCATGAGGATCTGCTGGTGATGAATTCTTTGATCTGTTGTAAGCGCCCCCCCCCCAAAGTCCTTATTTTGCATTTAGCTTTTAAAAGATATTTTACTTGGATATAGAGTTCTAAGTTGGTAGATTCTTTCACCATTTAAAGTTGTTACTTTAGTGTGTCTTTGCTTGCATTCTTTCTGAGAAGTACATTTTAATCCTTACCTTTGCTCCTTTGTACTTAATATGTCTTTTTTATTTGATTGCTTTTAAGATTTGAGCATTTAATTATACTATGGGGTTACTGAGCAGCTTATATTTGTAGGTTAGGAGCTTACGTCAGTTTGGAATACTATTAGCTATTAATTTTAAATATTTTTTTCTTCCTATCCCCCTGACCTTCAGGGATTACAATACAAGTATATTAGGCTGATAAAAGTTGACCTGTAGCTCACTGAGGCTGTGTTCATTTTTTTAGTACCCCCCTCCTTCTGTTTTTCATTTGGGACTGTTTATATTGCTATGTTTGAGATTCACTAATCTTTTCCTTTGTAAGGCCTAATCTTTAATATTTTGTTGTTGTTGTTGTTTTGTTTTTGGTACCTGGGATTGAACCCAGTGTGTTTAACCACTGAGCCACTTTCCCAGCCCCTATTTATTTATTTAATTTTATTTTTATAGTCTTGATAAGTTGCTGAGGTTGGCTTTTAACTTGCAGTTCTCCTGCCTCAGTCTCCTGAGCTGCTGGAATTACAGGTGTGCTCCATCATGCCCCACCCAACCTGTTTTTAATCTTATGTGTATTTGTTTTTAACTCACATTTTGTAGTTAAGGTCTTCTTTATGTCCTCTGTCCCTGTGTAACTGTTTGAACACATGGTATGATAAATGTTTTAATATCTTTGTTGATATCTAAGTGTGTCCTGCATTAGTTTCAGTTGAATTTTCTCATGATGGGTTGTATTTTTCTGCTTGTTTATTATAATTGAATGTCAGATATTGTGAATTTTACTCTTTTTGGGTGATAGATTATTTTTGTTATTATTTTGTTTTATATTTGGTATTCCTTTAGATCTTTTTGTGCTCTCTTCTAAGATGCAGTAACTTGTAAATAGTTTGATCCTTTTACATCTTGCTTTTAAAGTTTGTTAGGCAAGACAAGAAGAATGCTCAGGTTATGATTAATTCCCACTACTGAGGCAAAGCCCTCTGGGTACTATACCTGTTACACTGTGAAGCATGAGGTTTCTCAGTGTTGCTAGTGGAAACATACATTACTTGGAGTCTTTTATGAGAGCAGAGTCCTGATGCCCCAAGTACTCCTAGGTCATTCCTTCTTTGGCCTTAGTAGTTTCTTGACACACATGCACTGACATCTCAGCCATCCTCAGTGATCCTCAGCTGAAGTCTTCAAGGGGATGCTCTGCAGGCCCCATACTTAGGTCTTTGTTCTGCTCTCTTCTCTCTTTCCATGTCCTCTCTAGGCTCTAGCCTACTTAGTTTCTGCAGGCTCTCAGCCCTGACATCTCAAATAGGAAAATCTGTTATTTCCTCTTGGGTTTTTTCTTTGTGTTCTGTGAATTGGGAACTCTCTTAAGGCAGTAAGCCGAGAAGTTATGTGACTCATCTTCCTGTTTCCCATTTCTCAGGCTTCACGTACTTCATTGCCTAATATCCAGTGTTTTAAAAATTCTCAAAACTATTGATTTTTATTCATTGATTCTCTAACTTCATATCTTACATGAGTCTTTCATGAGGTTTTATTGTTACTCAGTAAGTCTTGAGTTTTCTAAGGAAAAAAAAAACTGTATTAATGCAAGAAGAGATATATTTTTATATGTTCTCTTCTAAACTCAATACTTTGTTTTTATTTTTATATTCTAGTAATATTTTTAGTTCAGTAATGAATAATGGAAGAAAAAGATATGGTAGTGTGTCTTTCCCCAGACTTAAATGGGATTGCTTCTAAGTTTTCAAGATTAAGTATAATATTGGCTATAAATTTTATCTACTTATTGTCTATACTTGAACAACTGGAGAATTTTTTTCTATGTCTTGTTTAGATAATTTTTGTTAAAATAAATGGGTTGCTTTTTTCCCTAAATGCTTTAAGAATCTATTGAAATCATTATATGACTTTTTTCATTTAATGTATTATTATAGTGAATTCCATTAATAAAATTCCTGGTGTTGCATTTCTGACATAAACAATGATTAGTAAAATTATATTTTTTCAAAAGCATTGACTATTTTTTGTTAAGTTCTTGCCACTTAAAAATCTGTTTATCTGGATATGGTAGCATACCACTATAATCCCAGTGACCAGGGAGGCTGAGGCAGGAAGATGGCAAATTCAAGGTCAGTTTTAGCAACTTCATGAAATCTGTCCCCAAATAAAAAATTTAAAAAGGGCTGTGCATGTAGCTCAGTGGTAAAGCACCCCTGGGTTCAATGCCCAGGACTAAAAAATAAATAAATTTAAAAATGTAAGTAAATAAATAAATATGTATGTTTGTAAATGGAAATGAATGACAGTGTTTGTGTGTGTGAGTGAGTGTGCTTGCACATACATTTGTATCAAGTTTAATATTTGTATGTCTTTGGAATCACCATTACACTGGAGTCAATAATAGTAATTAAAAAAATCAAATCAGTAGTTAAAATTTCCCAGTTTGATACTATTAAACCTTTAACTAATTTACAATCTTATACATATTCTTCTGCAAAATGGGAAATGGAAAACTCTATGAAACTAGTCTTAGGAAGCTAGAATGATCTGGATTCTTAGATAAGTCAAAATTTAAACACACATACACATACACACACACACACATCCAATTTCTGGTTAGAAAAAGATTTCTTAAATAAAACTAAAGAAGTAAGGGGAATTAAGTAGATAAAATTGAACACATTAAAATAAGAAGTTTTATTCATTGCAGGGTTTAAAGAAGTATGAAGATACTTTCAAAGTATATGCTTCACAAGGGTCAAGATCAAAAATGTATTTTAGAAAAAACTAGAATCAATAACAAAAAAAATTTTACAGGTATGGGCAAAAGTAATAATTCTGACAAATACTGTAAAAACATCAAGCAACTATAATTTTATACATTTCTGGTGAGAATATAAATTCATGCACCCATTTAGCAAAACAATCGGTCATTATCTTTTTTAAAAAATATTTTTATAGTTGTCAATGGACTTTATTTTGTTTATTTATATGTGGTGCTGAAAATCGAACTCAGTGCCTCACACATGCTAGGCAAGCATTCTAATACTGAGCCACAATCCCAGGCTGGTCAGGTCATTATCTTTTAATATTGAATAGGCATATACTCTAAAACCTATTCAAAGGAATACACCCAATGCACTGAGATGTGTTCAAGAGTATTGATGGTAGCAACATTTCTGATAGCAAAACTTTAAAAATAAACAGAAGTCCGTTGGTAAGACAGTGAATTTTAATATATTCATACAATACACCCTGTGAATTAATTAAAAAGACTTGAGTAGAGCTATGTATATTTAAATATGTCTCATGAGCAGAGTGTTGAAAAAGACAAGATGCATTAAAACCATATAGCATAACACTTTCAGGAAGGCCAAAGACATGTATTTAAAATATAAATAGAACATTGTGTAGGAAGTCATACATTATGATGGTAAACAAAGAAAAGATGCGTACAATTGTTAGAAGTCTGTCTACTCTTGGGAGGTTATAGGGGAACTGGTATAGGGAGGAAAGGTGTACAACACTTGGGGCACTTCAACAGTACTGCTGATGTCCAGTTAGTCTTATAGAAGGTTGATGAGTATTTTAAAAATTGTTTTTATACCTTAAACCTCTATCTTATTTATGTTCTTTAAGATACACAGAATATTCCATAATAATAAAAATTAAATTTCACATTTGCACTGGCTATGTAATGTATTTTAATTGTTTATCAACCTCCTAAAAACGCTGTCCTGAAAACTATGATTTATTCAAAGGTATTATAAACTAATTAAATTTTAAGATGGTGTTCAGAGGTCTCAAGTTCTTGCAAATGATTGTGCTTTTTGAAAAGGTACCTTATGAACAACTAATTAAAATATTTAATTGAAAATATTAAACTTACACTGGCAAAAAAAAAGTGTAAACCCAATCAACTTATTTTAAACTATGTGAAGTAATTAACATGTGTCTTTTGAAAGTGAAAGTTATAATCTTATTAGTTGAACGATAAATTCTTTACATTAACGTTAAAATGCAATTATAATTCAAAATGTGTTTTAGCATTTTGTCAGTTCTAAAACCATAGAAATTATTATTCTTTTCCTTTTTAATGTTTTTAAAAACAAAAGTAATGATTAAAAGTATACTTATATCTATAGAAATAAGATGTAAAATTAAACCAATTTGGTGTGAGTCTGTGTATTTATTCTTTATTTTACATATAAAATTATCCTAAAGCTAACATCTTTAAAA